AGAGAGAGAGAGAGAGAGAGAGAGAGAGAGAGAGAGAGAGAGAGAGAGAGAGAGAGTCTAGAAGTTTTTATTTTTTTTTTAATAACTCCTCAAAATATATTAATTGAAACCTAAAACTTTGTTCTTATGCTTATTACATGTCCGGAGATAAAAATATTATATTTATATACGAACAGTTTAGAGATAACAAGTTTTTTGTTCTCTGAAAATTTAACTTTTTAGACTTGTTTTTTGATTTTTTATAAAATTTCTTCATCTGCGTTATACACACTGCCAGATATCAAAGGAGCGATAATAACTCCATCCCATAAGTTAAATAACAGTTCGTATTTTTAACTTTCATACATGTCAGAATCAATCCATTTCCCTGGTTAGTTTCAAAATAAACAACGTCAATATTAACGTAGGTACTTAGTAAACAATAAATTCATTTGAATTAAATTAATACATTATTTTAAATTAAATTAAATTAACGATATATATATAGGAGCATTATATAGCGACCTATAAAAATAACTGAAATTAGATATACATAATTTGACATTATGAATTTAACATCCACATTGCATTAAATATAAATATTTTAGCGATGAATGCATATTAAAACATCCACGTTTTCATATGGTCCCTTTAATTGTCTGCGACGTATACAATATCGCCATGCGATACGAAATCAAAGATTGCGCTACAACGTAACATTGAGTTTTCCCGTAATACAGACACGATGGATCAAGTTTGTACTTTCCGGGATGGCGTTCCGCAAAATGCGCTACGGTCGGGAAACGAGTTGGGAACAAAGTCTATTATGGTTACAAGTCTAACGCCAGCGTTAAGGTTACGCAATGAAGAGTTAAGGCCGCGCGAGACGACGACGTCGGTGCACGATGTCGCAATGGTTCCGTCTTTACACCCTCCGGTATTCCTCGGTGCCCGCGCGGGGTGCCCGTGCTATTCCGGACGAACAATTTTCTAACTCAACAACTAAACCAGAAACGGCTCCTTCTTCGTTTCGAATTAATCCAACGTCGGATGCGCGCTCGTATTACGCCGCGACGTTGGATGGCAGGCGCTACGCTTTGGTAACGGGTTAAATTAAAGTTGCAAACTCTACCAGCGGGTTGTATGATACAATAAGGGAATAATAATGCGCTCATAGGCGGGCGCCGCACCGGTGTAAAACGACACCGGATGTCGAGAGATCCTCGTTAGATCCTCTAACGAGGAGAATCATATCCAATACGTTTCAGATAAGCCGGCGAATATTGTGCGTTGTTTTTTTCTTTCAATAATGTCTTCTTCCTCCGACCTTGACCGGTCATAGTGACTTATTCCGTCAGAGAAGAAAACATCATCGAACGAAATTTTGGTTAGCCTGCATCTAACATTATTTATTCGTCATCCGACACGTAGAGATAATAAATTTAATAAATACTTGTAATAAAGTAAGATTCATAATTACACCTTCCTAGTTCGCCACCGCACACTCTCCATCTGTGGATAACGCAGGGCAGAGATATATAGAAGTACAACGCAACTGAGCTTGAACAGCCGGCAGATATAGACGTAATCGATGGTAGGAAATAGGGAGAAGTGTGCATTAATTAAAGTCAACGATGGCAATTTGTGGATTTGTGGTAAACCGGAATGCAACGCCGTGACTACACTGATGTATAGACATGGTCAGGTGATCATGACTCTACGAATGTACATCATTCATCGTACGTATCGTCCCTCGTCATCCTGACAAGCACATTTTTTGTCATCATTAATAAGATGAAGAAAGATAAAATTAATGTAGTTTTAAAACATAAATTGTAAGATAAAAGATAAATGTGTCTGTGCTAATTTAATATATTATGTTAATTTTACTAAAAAGATATGTTTCCAACAATTTGTTCCTAAATTTGATCAGAGTGTTACATTTTTATATTAATTTTTTTACATGTTTGTTTTATTTTCTAACATATTTATCTTGTATTAAGTTAACATAAAAATTTAGGTGGGCCGTTTTTTTAGGACATGTAAAATTAAATTTAACACAAATTTTTCAACTTGGTAATAATAAGCTTTGTTTCACAATAACTCCAAATATATTTTATTATTTATAGATATTTCAAAATATTTTTGTTGAATCTCGTTTAAATATTAAAGTCACTGTGCGTTTTTAGTGGCTTATTCGTAGTTTATCGTCATTTATTACATTTTAGCTTATTCGTCATTTATTACATTTATCAAAGTATTCTCGTATATAAATTAAATTACAATATTATACATTTCTCTCAAACATTAACTTTATTGCCAAGAATGATATTATACAGCTTTATATACACTCCACAACCATTTATAATATCGCTCAAGTTTCAATCAATGCTGTTTTTGCAAAAAAATTATGAAATTAATTGTTTGCCAAATGCATTTATTTATTGAATGTTGGTCCTTTTTTTTATATTCGAACTAAAAAAAATATTAACGCTCGCGTGTACTATATTTTAATTCTATGAAAAAAAAATAAAAGAAATATGTAAATTTCAGACACTAGTGAGCAAATATTTAGACAAGGTTAAAAATTGTGAATAAGTAACGTATTCTATTCTACGATCACCAATTGTATAAAGATGAGAGAAGCAATCGCAGTCTATAAAAATAAGTGTTTGTAGTCAAATAAACACTCTGATTAACGTAATAAAAATTTAATAAAAGTATTGTTGTTTAATGCTTTCAACACTTAAAATTAACGCTACTCTTAGAAATTCAATTTACTAAATTTCTCAGTATTAAATTAACTTAATAAATTGAATTTCTAAGAGTAGCGTTAATTGATCGTGATATACAAATTCTGATTGTGATAGTTCAAATATAATATTACATTTTACATTTTAAAAATATACAAAAAATATTAATTTGCGTTAATAAATATTTAATGTAGATTGTGAAAATAATTTTTTTATCTTTTGTCTATTTATTTAAAAAATTTTGCTATCTATTAAAACTTTTGAGCAGTACTGTGTATATTATTATCGTCTTTTCTCTTCAAATGCATGCAACTTTAGTAATCGATAATGACGCGCCGTCAATTACGTTCTTATCGCGGCATCTCATCGTAACGTCAGCCACATCGCACTTTTAATTACACGGTCAATTGAAAAAGAAAAGATATCATACTCTTATGACAGCAGCGGTCCCGCGGCTAGCTTATCATCCGCTTATGCTCGAGCACCAGGACGGGAACGACCGCGTGAATTGTCGCGTGTATCCAGATCGCAGAGCGAAAACGTAGAGAATAAAAAGTCAACTCGCTAAATCGTGCATGTCTCATCAACATGCCTGATGAAGTAGGTTACTACTCGTAGAGACGGCGCGGGCGCAGCGCATGGAAACCCGGCCACGTGCATGCCAACCAAATTATGTCCCCATATCCACGCATTTTTCTTCCCCCCCCCCCCCCCTGCTATGCAGCAGAGCAATTTTGCCTGCGCTGCAACGACGGGGATACTGAAAATAGGAGTCGTGTGTGCTACACAACTGTTCGATTATCAGAGAAAATTGAAAAAGATTGTTGTGTCAATGCGACGAGTCTTTGTCGCTAAATTGAATGTAACATACAATCCCGGGTTCATCCTCAATGAACGAAACGCTTTTGAAAACTCAGAGTAAATCTGTTTCCATAACTCGAGATGACCCGAACTAAATAAACAATAGAGGGCAATCTGCGAGATGAGTTGGCGGGATATAATTTTATTGTCTCACGTGGACTGCATATCTGCGTAGATTGTGTAATCGGACTAATGAACTGCAACATAATAATTCGCATTATATACATTAAAGCACGAGTATAATACTCAACGTATAAATTCACTTTATTATCTCGCGTTCATTATACCGCTGTTTATTTCATTTCGTAATAAGCTAACATAGAAAACTGGGTAAGTAGTATGTATACCATTCGACTGGTTGGAATTTATACGATGTTTCCATCGAGATACGTTTACAACGTATTACGGCAAGTGGTTGTTAGACTTGCGATTCCGGAAAAGTCTTGACGTCTTACACTGATCGAGTACTTTGCCATTTTTTTTCTCTCTCTCTCTCTCTCTCTCTTGCAAATTCTCTATGCATTCCTTTCACATTACAAGAGATAAATACAAAATTTGAAGAAGTATAAAATCGTGAGTTGTTTAATGTTACTAAACGAGCACAAGTGGAGCAGAAATAGGAAAATGTAAGAGAACTTCTGTATGGGAATAAGTAATGAGCATACAACACATTCACTGCCTTACAACTTGAAGTAAAGTCATAATTGTATTCTCCACTGATTTCAGGCTACGTTATATCATAGTAAGAGGTCTAAATCTTGCATACCTATTACATAATTTCTAAATATATATAAATAAAATATTTGTATAAATTTTAAATAAATTATAATTTAAACATGTAAGCTCGTTATACCAATACCGAATCAATAATTCTATTTAAAACAGGCCAAAAGCGAACAACAATAAGATATTTGCAGTTATCAAATTTTATTGTGGAATTCTTCTACGCTGATGCACCATCGATCGTCCAAAAGGGCAAAATGAAAGAATTATGCCGTCAATCAGAATGTCAGCATTACAGAACTTCCCATGGCTCGCTGGTATCATATTACGTATATTAAAATTTTTACAAGACGGTGTCCCGCAAATCTCTAACGCGTACGAGTGTTGCGCATCGGATAGATAAGAGGGAGAGAAAAAGGTGGCGGGTGCGCTGTTTGGGGTGTACGAGGACGATCTCTGAAGCATTCGCTATGACTCGGAACGCATCCGCGCGCGGGAAAACCGATGTTTTATCCCGCTCGTCTAAATAAAATATGTCCCCCGCCTCCTAAATATTCAAGAGATACCGCCCGGCCTGTGCCATACGTAACGTACCGTTCCTTCTTCTCTCAACAACGATGCCAGATCCGCTCGCGCGCACGCACACCGACGTGCAGCGGCACGCGGATGCAGGCATACGAAGTGACACGAACGAATGAAACGCATAAAAGGGAAAAATGACCAGAGCCGACGGGACGGCTTGCGCGCAGCTTCCAGTATTTCCCCCGGGCTTTCCCGACGGCGTTTCACCGCCCCCCCGACAACTCTGCGGATCTACTACCCTTGCCTCTTGTTGTCTGGTACACGTATTCGGTGCGGAGAGCACGTGCGCTGCTGCACAGCAACGTGTGTACGCGCACGTGTGCTCACGTTGTGCAATTCGTGAAATGAAATTTAAACAATACACGACCGACCCGCCGCCGTCGGATCGGAGATCGCATATAACAACGCGTTTAAAATTTATTCGATAAATCGTTGTTGGATACGATCCAGCCGTCCCCACACGATGGAAAACCCCAATTTTCGTCGCCTCGAGAAAGTTTGGCCCACGCGTGCCGGTATTTACGATATTTAACACGTAAATAAACTAGAAAATTAGGATACTTTATGAACATTTGGAGTTCACAATCGCAGTAGTTTGCCGCATCCAATTAACACAATTTATTACAGTAATTAAGTTCCTGCAACACCTGCATGCCGTTGTTGTACATTCTACGATATCGTTATCTCATATCTTTGTAATTTTATATTGAATTGACAATAATATTCCTGTTTTTGGGGGGAAATGACGCAGTTAGCACCGAATAATGTCACTGGAAAATATTTATTTACAGGAAACATGTTGTTTGAACATGTTTAATTATAAAAAATGACGTTTAATTTTAATGTGCATTTTAAATAAAAATGTTTTGAATAAAAAGAACAAGAATGAGTATTTTCGAGAAAAGAGAAAGAATACATTCTCTTTTAATTCTCATTTAATTTATTGTATATCAGTGAAATTACACTGAGATACGCAAGAACATGTGAATACGCAACAATTGATAAAAGGCACCAGCAGTACCTACCGAACAGAAATCAGAATAGTATAACTACACTGCTTTATTTACAGCTGTTCTGTTTTTTTTTAAATACTATTTCGTGGATTTGTAAAACATTTTTTGCCTTGAGGAAATAAAAGAGCTAAAAAAAATATTCCAAGAGTAGGAAAATACTTATAGAGCGTTTTCTACAGAGAAAATTACAACACTGGTACACACTGAAGTGCAATTGTATTGTTTCACCATAAAAACCAGTTCACACATTTTCAGTGTTTAATCATGAAACACTGAATAAATTTAATTCCATTGACAAAACTGGTGCAAAAAATTGTACTGAGTCCAACTTTTCTCCACTGTCTTTAGCAACGGCGAAAGACCAGTGCAAATTAAAATTAAGATTATGTTTATACTTCAAAATATTAAAATATGATATTAATATGTACACTTTAATTCTAGAAAAGGATTTTTAAATCTATAAAAGAGGGGAAAAAAGTAATTGTGTGTTATACAAAATTATATAGTTTAATTATAATGACGGCTTTAGAAGTCCCTTAATTTCATATAGTTTAGTTTTGACGTCTCTAGTAACAGTTGTGCAACGACATTAACATTTTGATGTTAAAAAATTTTTGAAATACCTTTAAGAACCAAATAAATAATTTGAAATGTTATTGTAAAATAAGTAATTTAAGTTTGTGTAGTTATACCATATGTGCTTTTAGTAATAAGTGAAGTCATAAAATGGATACTCTCGAGAAATAGGAATAATAATTTTCTATTGGGTATTCTATGCTCAAATGCTCAGAACTCCGCCAATCTTAGCAAATTAAAAAAAAAATGCATTTAAACTTTATCTTTCACAGAATAAACATTTACTAGTAACATTATATTCGATGTTAACCGCACTACAAATAGAGGGAAATTACTGGTCGACCCAATATTATTGTATGTCATCTTAACGTAAATTACACTGTTATTTATTTGTCAGTATTACACTCTAGCGTCACTGCAACAGTTGCGTTATCGCAAATTATAGCAGGCAGTTGACAAATAATATTGTTGCAAGACCTCACCATTTTAACTGAACCCTTTAATTAAACATCCACGTCGTTATTGCTAAACATCTAGCATACAACATCGTAAAATTATAATCATCGCGTCACATTGTATCTCCTGTATTGCTGACTACATGTCATTTGTCGTACAATATACATCTCATATTTGTTACATACATATGCGATAATAACGTGCGGTATGCTTGCAACAAACTCACATTCGACATCGACGGTGATCCTCTTGCTGACCGTGGGCGGCACACCATTGGTCGCGATGCAGAGATAAGCACCCATTTCGCTGCGTGTGATCCTCGTCAAGTTTAATTGCTCGCCATCATACAGGTTCACTGCAACCAGAAGCGAGAATTGATTCAGCTTGACCAAGGGCGCAAATACAGTTCATGGAACCGGGCAGGTATATACCTTCGCGTAAGCAACGTTTCATCCTCGTTATCTCGTGAGCGAAACGAGGAAGACGGTTATGCAAATAGTTTGGTTTGAAATTTAACAACCCACAGCTTTACGTGATGCACGGGCAGCTCTTAACGTTTAGAGTTAAAGCTTAACACGCAAAGACGAAATACCTCGCGACAAATAGAGTGCAAGTGTTGAAAATTTATGATGTAATTGTTAAAAGAATCATAATTAAATCAATTACAAATGTAGGGGAGATTTATCGAATGTGTACCACTTAAGTAGTCTTTTGTTATATTATATGTTCTATTTGGTAACTGATTTGCATGCAAATGCATATTGGAAACTGACATTTTAGACACTTATTATCGTAATATGTTTACCTAACTCTTTATAATATATTTACAATAACAAACTGATTTGTCCAATCTTTTTGTAACATGCTGCAAGAAGTTTTACGATTTAAACAACTACAATACGTTTATTTAGTAGTTTTCTCCTCTCGATCCAGTATACGGAATTCAACTCTATAATGAAGCAGTGAAGTTATAGGAACTCAGAATACGTTTTTATTGCTGCGTGATTTACGCTCTCGAATATATCCAGATATATGTTAGTCTATTACGAAAGTTTTCAGCGAGAGATTTGTATTTTACAAGTAAGATTGCAGTAAAATTATAAGAAAGTCACGAAACGGAAGAAACGCAGAGACTAAGTTAATACCAGAAGTCTCTTACGTTCTCGTTAAAGTTATTTCGGTTGCGTTAGGATTTTTCTTCCATTAAATTCTGTCTTGAATCGAGTTCGTGCAAAATCGTTATGACTGTCACAAATAGTTCACAAACGACTACACCAAGTATTAAGATCACCTAACTCGCGTGATCAGGATTTTCGACGTCATTATCAGTGAAGATGTATACATTAGCTTCGTGTCTACGTTACATCAAACGACGATTTACGAGGAAACTTCCGCTGGCTCTTTATCACGGAAGAAACAACTGGTAGGAGTTAATAGAGAACAGAGAAGGGAAGAAGCAAAACGATCGGCACTCCATGACAAGAAATTGGCGGTATAAAGTTACTCTTATTACCTTTATAAGACAGAAAATGAATCGTTTGCCTTTTGAGAAATATTAATAAAAGTAATTTAACTCAGTATTATTGTACTCGAGTAATAATATATAACAATGCAGCAAACAGAAGGTTTAATACAAAATTTTTAATATGCGACACGTCTTTACAAAAATAATAAAAGAAATTCTTTCAAAGCGAAACCAGCGCGTCAAGCACGAACTTGTGCAATTTGTAAATGAAAATTACAATATTATAAATGATAATATTTTATTTTCCCGGGGCAAAATGTATTAAATTGATATGCTTACAGTCAGTAAAGTCAAGATCAATAATGATACATAATAGGAATGTTCTGAACTGATTTATAATTTATATAAGTTTTATAGTCAGTAAAATACGTAGTTCGTTAGGATATTGTATCCCAGGAGGATTACTTTTGATAATAAATTACTGACCGATAATGCAATTGGTAAGAGAACGAAATGGACTGAGAGTTCCTTTCCGACAGGAATCCGATAGAAAGAAGAAGAGTCCCTTCTGCTTGTTTAGACGTGATATTTACTTCTTAGTATAACATGATACTCTTCCTGCAGGTAAATCTCAAATTCAATATGATTTTATTCTTCTCTATGATTAACGACGATAAACAAATAAATAAACTTTATTTCTATGATCCGTGACACTTTGAGTCAAATTATATGTATCTTTCGTCTATGGATACACGGAAAGAACGGTTCTCCTAAAATATGTACAAAGAACGATGGCAGTTTAGTGCCAAAATTTACCCGTTGCCTCCTAAACTGTTCTTTAGCTGTACAAAATAAGTTTTGACAAAACGTTCGTGTGTATAGTAGATAGGGCAGGCTAAACTGAGTCGAAAAGTCCTTTACCTTTTGCAATTTTCGCAATAGTCAACGAGATATTAATTTCTAAAGATCGAATAAGCGAATAAAACCGACGCATAAGACAACTTTAAAATTTCTTTCAGAGTTCTTTATAAAATATCTCAAAGATGTTTCTTAAAGGACTCTTAAAGATATCTTAAAGTTGTTATATACGTCGATTTCAGACATTCTGTTCATTGGGTAACTAAACAAAAAAGTTGCAAAATGGTAGAGGACTTTTTAACTTATAGTTTAGTCCGTTCTATTTATATACACGAACGTTCGTCAAAACTTACCGGAAACCCCAAATATAGATTTGAAAATAATTTTATTGGACATTCAAAATAATTACACTGTTCGATATTCAACACTTACTTTAAAACACGAATATAAATAGTCATTTTTGATGTATTTTTATCTGTTAAATATGAATCCGTTGGTCAAATTTGATTATCGCGTTACAATTTTGAAGAAAAAGTGATTTTAAAAAGATAAAAAATGATGGTTTTAAAAGTTCGTATGACGTAGTATAAATAATAATCATTTTCTCTAATTAAACCGTTCGAAATATAATTGGACAGCGTTATGCAAAATGTTCAAATTATTATAGTTGCTAAGAATATCAAAATTTATTGCAGTATTATTCATCATACTTAAGTCATATTTACATAATTATTTTGATGGTCCAATAAAATTATTTTTAGATTCCTGTGTGTATGATATCCAGTTAATTTTATAAATATTTGAACAAAATAATTCTTTCCATACTTAATCTCAAGTCTCGGATTATATTATCGCAAAAGCAATCAACGTCAATCGTACAGATTGAAACGCATTTCCATAATGACAATTAACGAAACGAACGCGAGCCATAAGAATAGATTTGGACCATCCGAATTACGACGGCAGCGATACACCTTTCTCTCTCGGATGGGTGGCGTTCATAAATCTTTACCTCGGTTTACTTCGGCTTTGCTTGTCTCCTACTCGCGATTAACCGACCCCCGACCATTAAAGCGGGCGGCGATGTTTCTTTCACGAGACACATGCTCTGCCAGCTCTACCTTGCCACGTGCTGCATTCACCGTAGGTCAGACGCGGCATGCAACACCGCCGATTGGCAGGGGCAAGGCGATCGATCGATGCGAATAATTGAGAGAACACGCGAAATCTGAGCCTGGAGAACGGTGGCGCGGTGGCAGCGGCATGCCGTGGTCTCGTGGATACCAAGTGACGTGATAACACCCGTCCGATAAACCACCGTTGTTGTGCCGTGAGGCAAACGATCGCCGCGCGCGGCCGAGTGGCCGGATATCCGCGTAAGCGTAAAAGCGGAAAAAAGTATTGACGGAGAACGTGAAAACGTATATTTCTTCGACGAGAGCAAGCCCGATTTTCTCTCGCGGCTATCACGGCGATCGACCGCGTGAATCCTCATCATCGTCTCTCGTATTCGTTTAATCGCTTCAATTAATACGGCGTCTGACCGCTGTTGTCGAGGCGCGCGTTTGAATTCGACGTTTAATCGGATACACAAAGAGATAAAACTGCTAACAGGTAAAAATAATAATATTCGTACGATTTAATTCGAGAAAAATTCAAAAATTTAATTTTGTTTTTCTCTCAACGCTCAGAGAGTTTCACTCCAATTCAGCCGAGGAATTTCTCGCGGAATAACTTTTTCTGTATTTTGGATTTTAATCAATGCGTTTAATCGATGATGAATTTAATCAATGTATCGAAAATAATTTTACTTTTACACCAATGCGTTTTAATCATGTTAAATAATTGGATACATTCATTGTCGAAGATTACCCTCGTATTACTGCAAACTCGGAAAAAAAAAACAATTATGCGAAAAAATTTCAGAGGATAATATACTGTACTATACGTAAAAAAAAACTGTGTATACATACTTATTAATAAAATTACACAGCTGTGACGTTGGAAGTGAAAAAATCAGAAATAAAAAATAAATTCTGAAAGCGTAAAGTCGAAAGAAGATGAGAGTAGAGTAGAAGAAAAGATGGAGAGGGAGAGAAAAATCATCAAATTCCGACGGTGAGTTCGCAGTTCGTCAAATGCACAGTTCAAAATAAAACATCGATCGACGCGCCCGCGCCTCAAGCAAGCCTCTTTAGGTCTCTCGGATGCAATATGTTGGATAAAATATTTGCAATGAGTTTTTGATCGTGGTGGCACACCGGTCCTTTCGATACAAGTTCATTTCGCCATCAACTCATCCGATATTAATGTATTCCGCCGTTCTTCGACGAGTCCGGGAATATTTAGATAGCGGGTAGCTCAAAGCCCGGATGCAAATCGATACATCGGATTGAGCAAACACTGATAGTTATTTTTAAGGACGATTCGCAATGAAACTTTCGTTCGGCCGTATAAAAGCTCGCCAGAGGCGGAACGGCATCGTGGATGTGAAATATATAAATACATAGGCTCGTACCAATATTAATTATTGGAGGTACCTGAAAAATATTTTTTGCAATACGCAACATTTGATGAAAATTGAAATCTGTCGAAATTGCCGAGCTCTGTGAAATGATGTACGCCAATGTGTGTATGACAAAATTGTCAAAGGATTTAATAATATACATGATAAAAGTGGACATGCGGACAGCGCGAAGAATGCTTTGAATATCCGAACGCACGGCTGCTCTGATTGTGTATAAAATATAATGAACAATTCGCGCAATGATGAAGTTAAAGGTATGACATTGTCGATAAATCATTCATCATTTGAATATACTTTGTTATGAAAATAATAGGCGGAGAAGAAACCGGCAAGAATTGTTGAAGCGCAAGAAAGACAGGAAATATGCATCTCTGAAACCGCGTGATGCGACGTGCTTTTTGTCCTGCACTTCTCCACGCATATTTTAGAGTCTCTCGCGATACAACATCAGGATGTTAAGGACATAAATATTCATGATGTGCTAGATTAGTTCCATAATTATCAT